AGAAACCGTATGGCTGCAAAGCCAAAATATTTACAATCTGGCCCTTTACAGAAAAACTTTGACAACTCCTAGACTAGACGATCTCTAAGGTCCCTGTCATTTCTGAATGTATTGTACTCATTGTATGGTATTTACCTCTTTCATATGCAAACACCCTGCCAAACCTTAGAGCTGATGCAGACCCATGGAGGTACAAAGTTTGCGTGAAGGCCAGACACCATGATGAGTTTCTCTTTACCAGTCCCCTACAAGTTGGGAGGTGAGGTGAACAACATATAATCAATTATATATTAGCACAATCAGAGAATGACTAACACCTGCGATAGCTAACACGTGGCACATTCTATGTACCAAGCCCTGTTTCAGTGTTTTCCACACACTGACTCACAGTATGCTCACAACTCTATGACACAGGTACCATATTTATCCTCCTTTTCCAGTTGAAGAAACTGAGGCATAGAGAGTTTAAGTCACTTACCTAAGGACACCTACTTATAAGAATAAGTGTATATAAGATATATAAATATCTTATATATATAAATATAAGAATATATGGAAATTTGAACTGATGCAGTCTAGCTGCAGAGTCTGGGCTTATAACCACTAAGCGATTCTGCAAGCGATAAGGTAAAAGTAGTTTGAAGGTAAAAATCACTGTGGTTGAACTCGTATCTGAGTTCCAATTTGAGACAGGAAAGTGGGACACTACCCTCTGATGAGCATTACATGACCTTTTTACCCGGGGACACAAGGTCAAACATCCTTAGGGCCAGTTGGGAAGGTCAGTGAATGAAGAAAACTGCCTTCTCAAAGCATAGTTCCTTTTCTTTCTTTTGCAGGATACGGAGTAAGGCAACTGGTAGCTTCAGGGCAAAGAAACTATCACGTGTGAAGCTAGAGAGGGCATGCCCCATGGACAAGGGCCTGCTACTCATCTCTAGCTTATTGCTGACATGTAGAAATGAGGGTAATTCAGAGTTTTATGGTGTAATCCCCCAATATTTAAGAGTTCAGCAATTAATTCAAATATTGGAAACGAACAAGTAAACAAACAAAACACACTGTCTGGGCCAAATAAAATCCTTCAAGCCACCAGTGTGCGACCCATGCTTTAGCTCTGTCCTCTTTAGGCTAAATCATCTTAATTTCAAACCTTTCCAAATGGAGCTCCAGTCTCAGACCTTTCATCAGAATCATGGCTGCCCCCTGAACCGGTGCCGAGCTCTGCAGTCATCTGTAGTTGAGGAGAGTCAGAAGTGCCTTTCAGAAGCTGGAGTGCTACCTGGCAGATAGTTATGCTCTGATCAAGCCTAATGCCCTCCTCATGTATGTTCTAAGAAATGTCTGCTTTCTATTAGGAGACAATCTTTCCTGGGACCGGTAGCATCGATAAGTGCTTTTCCTTAATGGAAAAGCATGTTTTCATAGCTTTTCCAGGAATATCTTTGTGCTTTTAATGGAACTGTAATCCATTCCTTTATTTAATCTTCAATCACACAATGCTTATTTCATTGAATATAATGGCTTATGCACATTCACTAATGGCCCCCAAATAAAAGACCTTTTTTAAAATTTGAAAGTGCTTCAGTGTAGAGTACACAAGGAAAAGCACAAAATAGAAAAATGCCAGTTGTTTAGTTGAACTGAAAAAAATGTTTGGAGGACTGCAAACTTGAGTGATAAATCACTGTAATAAAATAATTAAAAAACATTCGTCATTTTGACAATCTGAAATAGTATTTAAATTGTTCAGAGATTTTACTAAAAATCTACCTAAAGAACTTTTAGATCCCATAGGAAGCGATATTTTATAAAACAATATTTTAAAATATTTTCCATGAGACTGTATTCAGAAAACTAGCGCCTTAAATGGAATTTCAAAATCAATCAAAATTTATTGCTCAAATTTGACATTTATGTGCTCTGGTTGGAGTTCACAGACTCTGCACAAAGTAAGCATTATTTTGAATATTTTCAGTTACTTTAATATATAGTGTCATAAATAAGGGACAAGTTGTCTTCACAGGCCTGCCTGGGAGTTTGGAGTATGAAAAAGATGGCACTTTGGCACTCAAAAACAAATCTCAAATGAAAATTAAGTGCTTACATAGAAGCACAAACTGGACACTGAATTAAGAAACGTGGAACTTTATAAGACATCAATTAAAAAGTATCACAAAGCACTAAATACAATGTGGTATCCTGGACTAGATCACGAAACAGAAACAAGAGATTAGTGGGAAACTGCTGAAATTTGAACAAAGTCTGGAGTTAGGTTAATAGTAATGTACCAATGTTGGCCTCTTAGTTTTCACAAATGCACCATGGGAATGTAAGATATTCACATTAGAGGAAAGTGGATGAGAAGTATATGGAAACTCTACTTTTGCAAATTTTCCATAAGTCTAGAATTATTCCAAAATGAAGTTTATTTGAAAAATCACAAAACAATTTCTAAGAGTATTAATCTGTGCCCTTAAAGCATCCAACAGAATAGGGTAGGCTGATAAAATTCACATGCCATTAAGTGCCATTTGTGTAAGTGTGTGCGGGTGGAGTGTGTGTATGTCAAGTAGGTAAGTGGGGATGTGTGAGCAGAGTTAACACACTTTGATCTTTTCCTCAGTTGACAGCCCTGCTCAAAGTTTAAAGCTTTTTTTTTTTTTTGAGGAAGATTAGCCCTGAGCTAACTACTGCCAGTCCTCCTCTTTTTTGCTGAGGAAGCCTGGCTCTGAGCTAACATCCATGCCCATCTTCCTCTACTTTCTATGTGGGACACCTACCAAGCAGTGCCATGTCCTCACCTGGGATCCGAACCCCGGGCCACCAAGAAGCGGAACATGCGAACTCACTGCGCCACCAGGCCGGCCCCCGCTCAAAGTTTAAAAGGACAGAAATGAGGGTGTGAGGTGAGTTCCTAAACATTTTATTAATAAAAATATATATTAATAAAATATTAATTATATATTGAAACTTCAGAAATTCTTCTCTTTATCACTGTGTTAAAAAAGATAGGTCATCACAATTGGACAACTTTCAACTTTTGATTTTTTTCAACAGTTTTGTGCCTCTTTGTGCTATCTTCAAATACATACCAATGAAAATGATTATAGTTTGTTTCCAAACTCTATAAAGTACAATTTTATACTCATTTCTATCCCGTTATCAAAGAGACTACATTGTGATGGGTTTCCTTTTTGCTGTAGAGAACAGAGGCATTAATGAGGTGGAGTAGACATGTCAGCATGTTAAAATAAATTTAATAGGCCCGCTTTCGGGCAGGATGTAGTAGGTCATGGCAACCCAACGCTTTCACTGCAACAACCAAAAAAAGGGCAAATAAACTAAAAAAAAGAGAGTATTTTAAAAAATGTTGGAGAGTAAGGAAATAGCATAAAAATAAATTCCAGAGAAAGGAGAACCACTTTCTGAAATAATGTGGCAATTATTGGCCATTATTTTCCTGAGAGTCTGAGGATTGATCTCGACTGAGGTAGAGAGATTCTGCTGGGGAAAAGAGATCCCAGCAAATCTTTTAGCTTTCTTGTGGGACTAGAAGAATCTAAAAGAATCATGAAGGATCTCAATGGTAGATGATAACATTGGAACATCTGAAATGCAAGTAGAGAGTCCAGACTTGTGCCAAAAGACATTTTGATATGGCTGAGATCTCAAGAACCAGGATTAGGTCATACTGATCCAACTGACACAGGTTCTATACAGAAACAAAGGGTGGAGTAGATCCAAGATTGCCAATTACTTCTACCTCATCATCTCCTACGACCCCAGCAGCCAACCGTGTTCTCCCTCCACCTCTGCGCTAGCACCAATTCATGTGTCAAAAGTTCCAACAAACGGAAACCATCAGCAGAGCGCCTCCAGCTTCAGTGGTGATGGTATGTGTGAGTGAACCAGAGCGAAGGTCCTTCCTGCAGGCTGAAGGAACCTCAGACAGAAGCACAGGATGCGCTCATCTACAGATTTACCATTGGGTGCTTAGACGATCTATGTTCCACGAGGAAAATGTACGCCAGTTGTCACTATGGCTCCACCCAAGATGACTTTAAGACCTGATTACTGTGTTAGGCCTTCAGCCTTCTGAATTAAATTGGTATAACTTTTTTCTTTCTCAATAAACATGAATTATAGACATCCGCCTTGAGGGATCCCGAATCTTTCATTTATGTATAAAGCGGCGTTAAGGAATAACAGTAGCAGCTCTGTGCTGCAAACCGTGCAAAGGTAATAGAAAGAAAAGCAGCGCTGCATGTCGTTAGGGATTCAAGACTGGGATCTTTTCTTGATGAATTCAGTCACTAATTTTTTTGTTTTTAAACTCTATTATTCTTGGCATTATTCCAACGTGCATTGTTTTACAAAGACATGAAGGGAATGCCAAATTATAATTTTGTGGTGCGCTTCCAAATTCTAATTTCGTGGTGTACTTCATTTGTCACCACAAAAGAACCCCTTAAACCTGAGTCAACAGAAAGATTTGTTCCTGAGCCCGCTAATTTTAATGAAATTCAAGAATTAAAACTCAATGTCATGACCTTACCAAATATTTTATTCTCTTTATTTCATCCTCATCTTGATGTATAATCAACCATATTTAACAGTTCGGGGTTTATTTATTGAAACGAAGCAGATATATGGCACATGATTTAATCCTTAAACAATTTCAGTTTGGCCTGTTATTCAAGGCATGTGCTCAATTTAGAACGGCTTCTGCTCGCTCCAGTCTCTCTCTCACATGTTCAGTGATTAAATACTTAGATTTATATAAAGTTCTCGACACCACAATAAAAAAGGCCACATCTAAATGAACTGCAAAGTGCAATAAAGGCCTCAGAAAACCAAATATGATCTTGAGGAACATTGCCAATATATAGGAAGACAGTATTGCATACATTTTTATTTTGTTTTGTTTTGCTGACTACGTATACTGGGTTCTGATAAATGAAGTCATATGTTCTAAAAAATCTATCACAGTAGACTAGTTTTATGTGTATCACATTATTTTGTTTAATGAAAGCCTCAATTTGAATTTTGATATAAACAATTAATAGGAAATTGGGGTCATTTCAGGAGTTAATCTGTGGCAAGTTCTTATGGTTACAAGGAAACATTTAATTTATACACTTTTATTCCTATAAAAATTTCTAATAGAGGAAAATAAAACACCAAACACCAATAAATGTAATTTTAATATTAGTTGCAGATAATTTTTAGAATCAAGTCAATCTTTTACAGCAGCGTAGGTTCCTCTGATACTCCCTTTCACAACATCCTGTTTGTCTCCTTCATTTTATTTGTTAAATTACAATAATTAATTATTGTGTAATTTTTGATATAGTGCTTTTCCTGTTACATTCAGAACTCACAGGGGCTGGACTATGCTTTATTGTTCACTACGCTCTACTTACTATTTAGCCCAGTGTTTAAAACATACACACACTCAACAAAGATGTGATCGTGAATAAAGGATGGAATGATTTGCTCCGGTGGGGGGGTGAGGGGCGCAAACTATGGTTCAAACCCAGCCTGTGCGAGCTTGTTACAGCCCTCAAGAATGGTTTTGCCATTTTTAAATGGATCTATTTTTCAAATACTTATAAAGTACCTAAATAGTAACCTCAATTTTGCCTCTTGGCTTGTTAATTCTAAAATACTTACTATCTAGCTCTTTGAGAAAAAAGTTTTCCGACCTTGATCTAGACCAGCACTGTCCAACAGAACTGTTGTGATGATGGAAACGTTCTCTATCTGTGAGGTCCGATAGGACAGCCACAAACCACATACGGTTATTGAGCACATGGTATTTGTCTAGTGTGACCAAGGTACTGAACTTCTAATATCATTTCATTTGAACAAATTTCAATAATCCCATGTGAGTAGCAGCTGGTGTAGTGGGCAGCAGCAGCTCTAGAGATATGAAAGAATAGATCTCATGTAAATACAGCAAACAATTACTTAGAGATCAACTACATCCAAGGAAAAAATTTAAAAATTTGTGCTAATTTTGCAGTTAGTTGTCCTCTCTGGCAAAAAAATAGAATAAAAAGTAAAATAAATTAAATAATGAACTAAATAATCTACCGTGAAATTATCTATCTACCAAATTCATTAAAACAACTGATGTTATGACAATACTTTGAAAAGGTCCAAAGAGAAAAATTAATTCATTTAATAGTTACACAGAAACTCATTTCAAATAAGTGGTGGTGTTTCATTCTATGAACTGTGGATGAGAAAATAATTATTTTGGATAAGGCAGATAATGTTAATGTTCTATTAACAAATAAATGAAGGGTATTGCTTTTATGAAGATTTTAAAGCTTTGCTTTGCTTTATTGAAGGAAACATCACATTTTTGCAAGGAAATTCCTGAAGTACATAGAATCCTATTAAAGCAAAATGTTCTATAGTGCAGTAGGAAAACATTAGAGAACATAAACAAGTAAAAACAGTGATATAACCCGATAGCATCCTCAAGTAGTTAGCACTAAAGTAGGTATTAAAATGGACTGGGAAGTAAAGATTCAAATTACAACGTGAAGTTTACAACACCCACACCCACACATGATTTCAAGTCTTTAAGTTGAGAAGCACTTAAAAGGAATTCTGAATTAGGTGCTATTTAGGATTGAAACTGTTTGCTACTATTATCTATAACACTTAAAGTAAGTAAAAAAATTTAAATATTAGAGAATATTTCCTTTTCTTGCTTATACTGTTTCTGATGCATCTGTGTATGAAATAATATCTCCCTGAGTAAAACTACTTTGGCTGCCCTCTTTTATTTCAAATGATTTTATCATTAGGGAAAAATTTGAAATCAAGGCGGACAAATAATCCTTTAATGCTTTTCCTGGCTAGTAAGTAATTTGTCAAAGCAATCCAATTTCCAAATAGCATACAAACTCAGTAAGACACTGAGCCAATGCATCTGTTCCTCTCCGTATTTAGAGCATGCACAAATGCCTTTCATTTTGGGGGGAAAATCCTGAGATTAAATTCTTTAAAAGGACAATTCAGCTCTAGTAATAAAATATTGTTTATATTTTCTCTCTGATAAAACTTTAAGATTTCTTTAAAAGTCAGGTTTTTTTGAGATATACTTTACATGCAATAATATTCACCCTTTATGAGTGTACAGCTTAATGAATCTTGACAAACATAGAAGTTGTATCTTCACCACCCAAATTAACATATAGCACATTTTCATCACCCCGGAAAGTTCCCTCGCCCCTCGTTGTATACAATCCCTCCCTTCACCCCAGCCCATTGGCAAGCAGTGATTCTACAGTTTTAACTTTTCTAGAATGTCATATAAATAAAACCATATGGCTTGTAGTCTACTGTGTCTGGCTTATTTCACTAGCCACTTAGTGTTATGCTTTGGAAATTCATCCACGTTGTTCACTGCTTTTTGTTGCTGAGAAGTACTCCGCTGTATGAATGAATATACCCCAATATTTTTATCCATTCTGCTGTTAATGGACTTTTGGCTCTAGGAGTGAAGTAACTATTAACATTTGCTGTGTGGACATATATGTTCATTTCTCTTGGTTAAATATCTATGAGTGGAATTGTTGGGTCATATGGTAAGTATACATTTAACTTCATAAAAATCTGCCAAATTCTTCTCCAAAATGGCTGTCTTCTTGGCGTCCCCATCAGCAGTGTATTAGGGCTCCAGTTTTTCTTCATTGTCTCCAACAGTTAGTATTATCAGTCCTTTTAATTTTAGCCACTCTAATGGGTGTGTAGTGGTATCTCCCTGTGCTTTTAATTCATATTTCCCTAATGATTAACGATGTTGAATATTTTTACATATGTTTATTGCCATTTGTGTATCTTCCCTGGTGAAATCTTTGTTCAAATCTTTTGCCTTTCTTTTTGCTGAGTTATCTTATTATTTATGTTCTCTGCACACAAGCTCTTTATCAGGTATGTGCTTTGCAATTTTTTTTTTGTTTGTTTACCTATCTGTGGTCTGTCTTTTCATTTGCTTAACACTGTCTTTTGAATAACAGACATTTTAAATGTGATGAAGTCCAATTTGTCAAATTTTTTGCATATGTTCATATTTGTTTTTTGTCCTAAGAAATCTTTCCTTAACCAAAGCTTACATTTTTTTGTGAAAAAAAAAATTTTTTTTCCCAGAAGTTTTTTAGTTTTCACTCTTATATTTAGGACTAAAATCCATTTCAAGTAATTTTTCGTATGTAATATGTGATAAAGGTTGAGATTCTTTTTTTTAAAATTTATTTTGATTTCCAATTATTAGCACCACTTGTTGAAAAGAGTATTTTATCTCACTGAATTGCTTTGGCACCTGTGTCAAAAATCAACTGACTAAATACGTGTGGGTCTCTTTCTGAACTCACTAGTTAATTCACTGATATCCTTTGAAAAATACCACACTGTCTTGATTACTGTAGCTGTATACTAAGTCTTGTAAACGTTTACATTTTAAATAAATACAGTGAATACTGACATCCTTCACAAACCTAAGTGCTCCTGAAGTGGCTGTTTATGGCAGAATGTAGGAAGGGGCTTGTACTGATTTGGAAAGATACCGTTCCTCCGAGATGGAAGAGTTCCTACCCTTGGTTGTTACTTTCAGTCGTCTGTTTCCCTGTTTGCACACACTGTGGGTTTACTGAAACCAGGGGATCCGCAGAGAGAATTAAGGGCATCCATGAGCTAGGATCCTGCAGAAAAATTACTTCTTTATTTTCACTAACCTCCAACTGAAATTGAGTGTTTCTTTCAGTTATAGATGTGGACAACAAACCTTAGTAGTATTGGCTGCAGCTGAGACTCCGTTGTCAATGGAAGGTACAGATATTTTCATATCATATTACAATATTACATACTTCATATCATAGATATTTTCATAACATATTAGTTGTGGCTATCTTCAAATATTGTTCACATTATTGTTATGTCAAAATTATAGTAGTTTTTAGAACTGTTACTTGATCTTGTTATTTAGTGAGTTAATAAACACATTTATTACTAAATTATTGTTTTTACAAACTCTTTTGGAGAACCAAATAGAACTTTTCAAATGAAAAATAAAATAATTGAAATTAAAGTTACAGATGAAGACAAGCATTGCTTGTGAAGTGCACTTTGGCAAGTTGGGAATGTATCAATATCCTGTGGAACGACTGCATTTTGGATTTTTCTCTTTTGGATTGTAGCATGAGAATCTCAGTCATTCCAATCATCTCTCCAGAGGCCCCAACATTTTAGATTAGTTGGGCTATTCACGCTTTCACAAAGCTCTGCTCCATAGTATGTATGTGCCTACCCTGGACCTTGTTTCAGAAGAGAACAATTATGACAAGGAATGGGCCACCATTTCCAGAGGGCTGTTTGTGATAGCTTTAAAAATAATTAATAAATTAAAAAATCATGCTACGTAAAACAACAAGAAGAACGAAAACCCTCTTTTGGTAACTAACTCAACATGGACTGATTTCCTTTGTCATATTATGCATTTCACTATGTATTTAAAAAAAATCATTTGAGAAGGGACCTACAGGCATTTCCAGACTGTTAACAGTCTCCAGCACAGAAACGGTTCGCCACCCATTTCCCAGACCTTCTGCTTGGGTCATCCTCCACCCTCAGACGCTTGTTGAAAATGTCATTACAGCTCCAGTTTAGAATATTTCAGTATTACCAGCTTTGCTTTATTTCATCTTAAACTATACGTAATATATAATAGAAGATGTTATACAATATGACATTATATTAGTTCATTTCATTAATAAACCTTTGTTAACCATGAAACTTGACAGTGCTCGAATCTGGAGATTCAAGGTGTATCAGATGGTCCCGCCTTTGAGGAGCTTAGGTCCGGTCCTGCGGGCAGATGGGCAGGGAAGCAGAGCACGCGCTGTTCTTGTGCTCTAATGGGCACACGTCGGGTGACCTAGATGATGTTTTTACCCTTACACTGGGTGATTGGTGGAGGTGTGGGCAGAATATCAGCATATGCTTCCCACAGGAATTGACACATAGCAGGAAACCTGGAGAATAAGGAAGCATTCACTAGAACAGGAAGAGACTATTTCACACAGAGGAAACAAGCGCAAGCATCAAACTCAACTCTGCCGGAAGTGTGGGGCAGAATGGCCAAGGGTGGAATTCTGCACTGTCTGCTCCCCAGCTCTCCAGGGTGTGTCAAGGAAGATGATCTCAAAATGCAGAAGCCAAAGCCTGTTCCCAGTCTTGATCAGAATATTCAGCTTGCATTTACCCTTCTATTCTGACAGGCACAATTTCTTTCTCTCAGACCCTTTTTTCCCAGAAGCTGTTAGGGGCTGCAGAGCCCTTGGCCATGGAGCCCTTCCGGCAAGGACCCCTCCCTCTTTCCTGTACTTCTTTCCTCTTTCCTGTACCTCCCTCAGCGTCCTCTGCCCACTGAATCTTAGTGCGCCTCCTCGGCTTTAGCCAGTTCCTTCATTTCTAACCTGGTGGGTGGCATACGACGGTGCACTTAGGCGCCCTGGTACAAAGAGTACGGACAGTTGAGTACAGACTCATAGCCCCGATTTCTCCTTCAGCCCTTTATCGCAGGGGACAGAGTCTAGGGCAGTGGAGGTCCTCTCCCACCTGGATTAAATGAGTCATTTATTACATCCTAAACAAAGATTATTACTAAGAGACATTCCTATTTAAACTGTCCTCGAGCATTTCCTCAAGCCAGCCAACAGCAGGGCCTGCTCAGCTAATTAGGGACTAATTGACTCTTTAGCACCGTTATCAGCTGTGACAGAGCTCTTCCTGCCTGTGTCTGCCAGGGTCCTGGGACCATTCCTCTAGGATGGGCTCCACTTTCGCTCTGTCAGGATGTAGATGGAGCCAATTGCAGCCGCACATTGCCTGGTATTCTCACTAAGGTGGAGGCGGGGGGAGATGAAAAATCTTTCTGTTTTTGAAGGTTTCTGTTTAGTTCAGGAAACTGTTTCCTCTTGCTCAGTTATTCTTACAGGAAACAGGCTGCCTACCTTTGAGGGGTTCCTGCTTCCAATCACTGAGGTGACATTCCACTTTCTGAGGAAGAGGATGGCGCCCTTTCTTTCCCTCTATAGGAGGGCTTTTTTTTCTTTTCTTTTTCAAGGGCATTTTTAATAACGACCATAAAATTTCATGACTTCACTTACCCAGCATTACTTTTTTCTCTCAGAGGCGAGGCTAGTTTTTGATCCATGAGGGATCAGTGTATTTGTTGCCTTCCTTCCCTCCACAGCATGTTCTGAATGCTTCCACTTTTAGGCGTAGGACAAACAGTAAAAATGATGTATTTTCTGTCCCTCTAGGTCGAATAGAGGAATCCAAAAGTTTTAAAATTAAGTGCAATAAAGTGACATTGATGCTGTCATAGTCAGCTGTACAGAATATAGTTGGGACATAATAAAAAGACAGTGATTTAAATGTGGGGAAGAATCATAAATATTGAAGATCAACATCGGAAAGTGTTGACGGGAAGAGAAAGGAACTTTAGCCTTCCCACAAGAGGGATAAGTGAGAGCAAAGTCCAGATGGAGGCAACAACTGGAGATGTTGTGGGAGTCACAGAAGGTCTGGATAAGTTGAAACTGGGGTTAGATGCAGTGCAGCAGAGATGATGCTGAGGAAGTAGCCAGCCGAAGCATCATGGAGGATTTGGATGCCATGCTAAAGGGTTTGGATTTTCCTGTAAGAAAATGGGAAGGCCACAGAAGAGTTATAAGCAGGGGTAGGAGATCAATGCCAAGGCATCCAAGAGGGTGGTTATAAGGCCCTGAACTTAGAGAGTAGCAGGGGGACTGGAGAGAAGAGGGAGGGGAGAGAAAGAGGTGGAATGAATATGATTTAAAGTTCAAATGGGTTGCAAGGAGAGAGAAGTCTAGGGTGAATTTGGTTTTCAGCTGAAAGTTTCTTTCACTGAAAAAGGAGTATTAGAGGAAAAGTAGGTATGACAGGAAAGTTTAATTTTAGACATGTTGATTTTGAAGTGCCAGGGGAATGCCCACTGGGAGTGGCAATGTCCGTCAGGCATTTGGATAAACAAGTCTAGCGCTCAGGAGAGAGATTAGGAGAGAAACCTAGCCTAAAAATTAAGATTTGAGCATCATCAGATACAGGTAGTTTTGGAAGCCAAGACCATGTACCTTAGAAAGTTTGTAGATTAAAAAAGGGCCAAGGTCAGAACCCCCGGTGGGAAACACTAATATTTAAAGGACAAATAGAGAAGAGTATGCAAAGAAGACTAGGAGGGTACAGATAGTGGAAGGGGAAAACTGTAGGAGCAGTGGCTCCTTTGGCTTCCGGGAAGCAACTCTTGGGGGTCAAACGTCCCTTCCATCTCTCTCAATCTATGGCCTTTGTATTTCTCTCTCTCTTTTTGGCTTTATCTCTTCTCTCTCATGATCTCTTCCTCTGCTCATTAATAGTTTCTGACCCTTGTAATTTTGGCTTTACCTGGTCATATATTGCTTCTAGAATCATCCATCCTGAGAATGAGAGAATCTGAGAGGTCTAATTCTTCTTTTTGAGCCAGGTCACACCAGGGATCTCAGCTGCCATGACCAGGTGTGGTCCCATCACCTGTGGTCCTGAGAGTCTTGGGTATTAAACATAGCTGGCTGAGTTCACCCCTTTGGCAGGAGATACGGGCAAGGAGAAAAAATTGTGGCTAGTTAGGTTGAAGGTTAAATCTGTAGTTTAGGAAAGCTTAAGGATGGGAGTCCTCAGCAGTGGCAGACTCCAAAGTATGGTCAAGAGAGTCCTTTGGATTTGGTGATATGGATGCCAGCTGGGGCATGTGCCAGTTGCTGGGATGGGGGGGAAGCATCTGTTTGCTGTGAGTTGGCAGTGAATGAGGGAAGGAAGTGGAGACATAGAGTTGTGGCTTCCCCTCAACCAGGGTCTTTACCTCAAACTCTATAATATAAAGGAAAAGAAGGGGGGTGATGTTGATACCTTCTCTTGCCCTTGGCAAAGGGCACTGAAATTTACTCTGCAAAGTCTTTCTCCCTCACTCCCTTCTCTTCTCTTCTCACTAAGAGTTAACTGATAACCAATTACTCCCGCAGATCCTGAGATCCCCCAAAGTAATCCCATAGAAAATCAAATGTAGAGTACTGTCTTGGTCCTTTAAGACTGCGAAGACTCTGCTGTTGAGTGCAGCTCAGCAGGGAAAGCCAGGCTGCTGGCAGAGTTGCTTCACAGCATAACTTTCATTGGAGTGATCTATGATGTTGATCTGTTTACAGGGGTTTCTGCCAGCTCTGCATTCTGGGGTGGCCCACCCAGCCTGCACTCTGCTCCTCAAACTAGCTATGGCTGTGGTGTCATGGGCTACTTAAAAGATATCTTAGAAATCATTGACTCTATCTCTCTCATTATAGAAATAAGGAAACTGAGACCTAGAGAGGTGAAATGATTCGTGCAGTGTCACATATCTTGTGGCAACACCAGGAATAGAGCACAGGCTTCCCAATTCAATATTTAATGTTATTTTTAAAAATTGTTTGAGTGTAATTATTTTCTCACTAATTTCTTAATATCCTGCCTATATCCATTATATGCTCATAACCAGAGTTCTGCCTTTGAATGAGGCTGACAAGCCAGAATCCTAATCTAAGTCAGGTTCCAGTCTGCATTTGGCTATCCTGGCATAAGACCTCTCATTACTGGGTAATCAGAACACAGGATCTTATGCGAACCTTATCTAACACCTACCTTTATACACTTTCTTGATTTTTGTAAAAAAATGACAAACTGTGGCTAAAATTTTGTAGTCATGAGGTTCCTCTCTGTTCCCGGGGAGAAGGAGAACAATGATGTCATGAAAGAGTACTGATCTTAGAGTCAGAAAACCTGGGTCACCTTGGGCAAATCATGTACATTGCTTTGAGTTCCACTGTAGAGTGGGAATATTTTACTTATAATGACACAGGTATACCAATATACTGTGGAAGCTGAGAAGAAGAAAAAATTAAGCTTGCCAAGGTCAGCTGGGCAAGATTTCCAGAGAAAGTGACATTTGAGGAGGGTTGTGAAATGTGAGTAGAGCACATCAGGCAAGAAGGTAAGGAAAAGGGTTAACTTGGGTTCAGCGTGCAACATCTACTACCTGGGCCGAGGTAATCATCATCAACAGAGAAAGAAAGCGACCATCTGAGGCCTCTAATGGCCTCTGTTTGAATCACCAAAAACTTGGAATTACATGCCTTCATCTTGTCATTCTTCCCCAAAGGAGAGAACACTTGCCCCTCCAGCCTCCTTCTCATTCATTCTCCCACTGCTGCCATCTTTTTCCACTGAGGCCTTCTGGAAATCCTGCTTTAGAGAAAACCAACACCCTGTTCCATCCCCTTTTTCACCAAACACCTACTTTCCTGAAGCTAGGCTAAATCTCAAGGTATTATAGAAGTAACTACTTTCCTTGCCACTCTCTCCACTACAGGATGATTATTTTTTCACACAACATGGACCAGGAGGAGAGGCTTGGGAGGCTGAGTGGAGGAGAGAGGGGTTAGCTTTCTTCTTGGTCCCCATTGTTGCTCCTCGTCATTAACTCTCCACTCTTAAATAAAGAACCAGATTTGAGGATGGTAGTTAGCCATAGCAGTTGCCATCATTTATCTTCTACCAAACTCTCAATAAGATTTAGCATTTGTCTATCGTCAACTGATGTTATTTTCCTAGATAAACTCACTGAATAATAGTTTCTTTCAAGCACTATTCTCTCTCTAGACATTCTTCCTCAGTAACCACTGGAATACTCATGATTTAAACAACTATTTACAGATCTTGAGCTCAAACTTTCTTATTGGTTCTAGGTTGTACATGGATATCTTCATCATTTGGGTGTTCCGCAGACACAGCATATCCAAAATTGAATGATAATCCTAATTCCCAAGCAACCCCTTCACCTTTTGTCCCTCCTAGACCTTCTTCCTGAGTAAATGTCACTACTACTCAGCTAGCAACCCAAGCTAGAAATTTGGGGGGAGGAGAACAGTAAGTATCCTAGATGTCATTCTCTCTCTCACCTACAGTATCCAATCAGTAACCAAATCATGATCGTTTACCTCGATTCATTTTTTTCTCTATTTCTACTTTCTCTGCCTTAATCTAGGCAATATCACTTTTCATTTAAGTTTCTGAAATAGGCTCCTAACTGCTGTCTCAGCCTTCAGCTCAGTCCTACTCTGATCCATCCTCTAGCCTACAGTCTGAGTGATTTTTCTAAAATAGAAATATAATGACATCACTCTCTTCTTAAACTCCCTCAATGACTTCCTATGCCTTGAGAGAAAATCTACCTCTTTAGCATGGCATTCAAGATCTTCTGTGCTTAGGACCCTGTCAACCTCTCTGGTCTTATCTCCATACTCACCATTCACATTGGTCTACTTTCAAGCCCCTACTAGCATCATGCTATTTCATGTTTTCACAATAATTGTTGCTAATATTTATTGAGAGGTTACTAGATACAAGGAATTCCATTAATTGATCTATTCCTCTGACAAGCCCATGTGGTCAGTTACTGTTTTTCTCCCAGTTGACACATGAAGAAACTGAGGCACAAGTAAGTTAAGGAGTCCAAGCAAGGTCACACAACTAGTAAAAGACACAATTGGGATTTGAAGTCTATCATTTTCTCTCTAGAATCCATTCTCTTAACCACTATTTATACCTCTATCAAACTCTTCTTTCTGGAAGACCCTTTTTCTTTCTTCACTTAACTTACCTCATACTTACCCTTCGTCCACTTAATATGGCTTCTGCTTCCATCACAACTCTGAAAAATCTCTCATAAAAAATATCAATGATGAACTCCAAAGGGACTTCTTCCCTTCTCTACTGACTTGATGTCTCAAATGCTTTCAACCATTGATCTCTCCAAAGGCCCTGAAATAGCCTTTTTCTTAGTTCTTGTGATGACATTCTCTTGGTCTTTCTGCTTTGTTTCTGAATGTGCTTTCTCAGCCTTCTTTGTTGTTCATCCTTCTCTACAGAACCTTCATATTAGAGTTATTGAAGATTCGGTCCTAGTTCCCATTCTTCCCTCCCTTTGCTTTTTGTACTGAGTGATCTCATCCACATCATAGCTTCAATTTCCATCTGAATGTTGGTAACTTCTAAATTTGTATCCAGGCTTCCTCTTTGTTCTACAGACCTTTGCAGACCAGTGCTTCTTTAACATCATATGAATTTCTCAAAAGCATCCTAAACTCAATATGTATAAAATGCAATTTTCAATCTTCTCTCAAATATTGCTTTTCAGTGTACCCTAGCACCACCTTTCCTCTAGTCAAACAATCTAAAATCTGCTATAGCCCATCTGCCAAAGAGCAGTAGGAACATAACAGTAGTCAGAGTTAGATTTATTTCACTTACTGCAGCCAGGGGGAGTGCACTTAAGAGGAACTGGGGGTTGTCTCAGTAAAAAAGTTTTCAGGAGCTTCTTATAAGACTTGGGCTTGTATTCCATGGTTGTAGGGAGGATTTAAAAACATGGGGTCCAGTTATGAATTGGATGTTGTCAGGGGCTGGGGAAATTCAATCACTGGTCTTACTTTTTTTATATGTAGGCAGGATGATTAAAGTGGGCCTGGAGTAGTCACTGCTAAAAAGTGGCAGTTACGTGTTAGTTAGAAGAGAGGATTTTGAGAATGATCTTGTCTGTCTTTTTCCAAACAAGTCATTGAATGGCCTTGTTTGAACACTATATATAATTGTCATTTATTTTGAGTTTTAGCATGTCAAAGTTTTAGCTAGGTAATTTTTTGGAAAGTGCCCTTAACTCTCAGCTTTAATTTTTCAATATAAAAAATGAAGCAAATATATACTATTTTGGGCAGAAAATTCAAAACCAATTTACATATGATTTTAGTTGTACACATTTTGCTTCATTTTAATAATGAGACATTTTCTAGGTTTCTGTCTAAGAATAATATAAATATTATTCTGGCCATTTGCAAAAACAGTTCCATCCGACTGGTAGATTAGGGAGACCTACCCATTCAGAGGCAGGGCAACCAAGAAACCCTCAATTGCTTGAGGTCTGTAGGGCTATGCATCCACCAATATCTTGCTTTCCCCCAGAGGAAACTGAAAAAATGAAAGAGCAATACAGAAGACTCTCAAATAATCAAGAGGTAAGACAGTATCTGTAGTGGTTAAGTGGTTAGACTCTCAAGTCAGAACGCTTGGATTTGAATCTTGACTTTACCATTCCCTAGCTCTCTTCCTGCCTATTCCTACTTGGAGCAAGTTGCTTGACTTCTCTGAGTCTCAATTCCCTCGTCAGTAAAACAGCAGAAGTAATATAGTCCCTTCCTCTAGGGATTGTTGTGAGGATTAAATAAGTTAATAAATATAAAGTGCTTAGAACAGCACCTAGCACAGGGTAGGCACTCAATAAATATTTAGCTGGCATTATTGTTATAATCCATCATGTCATTTGGAGTTTAAAAAACCTTTTAAAAATTGAGTAGTTGCCAAGGACACTCTGTATGAATGGTATGTATGTGTATAAGAGAAATATAAAGTTGGAGTGACCTCTAAAATTTTTTAAACAGATCTGGTCATTTAAGAAGACTCCTTCAGAGAGCTGCTCAGATGCCAGCACACTTGAGAATGGAGAATCTGGAATTATGTTAACATACTGGAACCTTCCATGGAGACTGCGATGGTGAAAGAGCAATTTGAATAGTAGAGTTTCAAAGCTGTCAAAGAAATTGATGATGTGTCCCTGCTTGCCAGGAAGGGACTTGTACAACACCTTTGAACTGAACAGAAGAGGCCAATAAAAATGGAACTTCTGGGGGGACTCCATGAAATCTATAACTGAAGTGGCCCCATTCTTCTCTTCCTGTCAAGCTAGCCATTCTGACATCTATTAACTAATACTGTAAGTGGGGTAAAATTTTTTTGATTATGACATCTGTTTAAATTGGCTTTCTGTGTCTGTTCATAATTTCGCTTAGACTATATGCTTTTAGCATTTACTAGATTGGAGGCAGTTTCTAGGGGCAGGAAAAAACAGAGTTTTCAACAAAGATTAAGTTATAGGTTTTTAAAAATTCACTTGTGTATTTTTGGAGGGTATATTTGAATTGTTTATTGGCACAGTTATCTGGCAGACTTCAGTTATCTGAACTGATTTCTGTCAAGTTATTAATAGATTGCTTGCCTGTGTTTCCCTGTATTTTATATATAAATATCTAGGCAGGAGAATAGTCAAGGTTTGCAGTTCACTGTCATGAAGCTGTCTGTGTATCCTATGTTTAACCACCTATGATTTCCCAAGCTGGCAGCTTTTATGAGAACAACTAAATTCAAGGTCCTATATATTTCTTTCAAAATGCAAAATTTGGCCCTAGCAGTTTCAAAGGGGTTTGAAAAAACAGAGCTCCTAAATAGTAATGTATAAAATGCACTTAATTATATAATCAGCCTTTAACTAGCAATCCTACTTCTGGGAATATATCCTTAGAGGGTAAATAATTGTAGAAAAGAATCATCCCAAAGGCTCAAAGGCATTCACAGAAGTCCTGAGTGCAACAGCAAGAGGTGAGAAACAACCTACAGGTTTAACAACAAAATAATGGGTAAATGGAACATATCTCATTAGGATGGATTCTTACGAAGTCATTAAAAATGATCATCCTGAAGGCAGGTATAGCATCATGGGAAAATGCTTCTTAGATAATGTAAAGTAAAAGAGGCAGAACATAAAATGCTATACTGACTGTTAATGCAAATGTAAAAAATGTATGCATTTGGACCAAATGAAAATAACTATTCAGTGGTGGGAATATCAGTAATTTAAATATAGAATCTTCATTTTTTTAACAAAAAGAGGAAAAGTAAAAAGTTTTAAATAGCCTGACCATATATTCAAGAGCCAAGTCCCTTGCTCAGTTTTCATGGATTTGTAAAAATGACAGCTTGTATGTGAAGGCAATTTGAGTGTTAGCCCAGGAACCTGATTTGTTTGCCCCAATAAATTCACTGTATCTTGATTTTATTAATAAATTCTGTGCAAATTCCAATGCCAACTATTTGCTACCTTTATTAATATGAACAGATCCCATGGGTGAAAAAATATGATAATCACAGAGAAACAGGAAAGGTACAGCATATGGTGTGGAGAGCCCACCAAAAGATATAAAGGCCTTCTGAAGAGCTGTTCCTAATTGCTATATATATTTTTTACAAGTCAGAGTTTTATGATAGATGTACGGATCATACAGAGCATTTTCATATTCTTAAGTTTTACTTTCAATTCAATAGTTTACCTTATAATTAAAAGACATCGCTACAGTCATTTGGGAGAAATGGATGCAAAACATAATTCAAAACCAAAATTTATTAACCAATCCTCCTGGAGTAATCCCTGTTAAAGAATGCCAGCTGAAGGCAGAAGAGATTTGGGAAATTCTGGTCTCCTTTGTATTTATTCTTTGTCAGTGGCTGAAGAGACGGGGACCTAATCTTCTTAGATACAGACCTCATGAGCCAAGATGTGGGTGCATTTTGTGATTTACATGCTCACCAACCTTGGAACGCAGCAGACACTATGGAGCGTGGCAGGACCTTCTGTGTTTTGGGGCATAAAACCATCTGAGAGGACCCACTTTAAGGCTGTCTTCTCAAATGTTAAGCACTTGGGGATCTGAAAACGCCCATTCTGATTGAGTAGGTCTGGGTAAAATGCCCATTCTGACTGAGTAGATCTGAGAGTCTGCATTTTTAACAAGCTCTCAGGTGATGCCGATGCTGTTGGTCTGTGGACTGCATTTTTGAGTACTAAGACTCTAAGCTCATTTTACTTGAGGAAAAGAAGAGATGCAGAGAGTTTCCTGCTTAATTTTTGCTTCTCATATCGTTTCTACATCTGGAAACTAAGCTTTGGACAAGGAAGCATACACTGTGGTGAATGCCAATTTAAAAAGAAGTGGTACTGTATATTAGAATAATTTCTTACAATTTTATTTACTATTCTAATGTCCAGTAAGATCAGTACTGGTAACTAAGAAACATACTCTGTAATTGTAATGTTGAAGTCTTAGGCATTGCTATATGCCTACCAGCTTTTCGGAATGTTTTTGCCTTACCAGTACGGTATTTGGACATTTGTTTGGTCGGCTGTTTTTGAAATTTTGCTTTGGAACTTTCAAATTTCATTTATAAGTAAATCTCTTCATAAAATCCCCCCTCTGATTCTTTTGGTGGCCCTTGTATATATGATATGTAAAACGCCACAGTATTCGGGATTTAATAAATTAGCAATTACCTTTAGGTTTATTTTTAGTAATTATATTAAGATTTACTTTAAAATTAAAGTTAGTATCTTGTGCAGGAAGCTTCTTGGTTTTCATTAATATTCTTAAGTAAGTTATAATTAACCACTACCATTAGTGTTCAATTCCTTCAAAAGTGACCTTGAGCTGCAAATTTTAACTTTAAATTGCAAAGTTCTGATTATAACATCATATATTTATAAGACAATAAAAGCTAAGTATGAAATATATTACCTGAAGTAGTAAAAACAAAAATAGATAATTTGGAATGTCAATGGGATTTTTATCGTCGAATAAGTTTTTTTTTTAAACCTGTGAACAGTGAGCTGAAGGATCTCTTAAAGGTGTTTCCTATGAGAATATATTTCTATGGAAAATACACTTACATTTTTTGGTTTGTTTATTTATTTTCTTTTGAATATAAAACTATACCTTAATTCGTCGGCCCACCAAAGTGTGGAGACCACAGGGCTAGACAAGAGGAAAGGACAAAAGGGAAGTTGGTAAGCAGATATTGGGCATTCAAATCACTACGCTTTCAAGATAACAAAGTTCTAAGGTGAATGGGGAATGAATTATTCTAAAGTATTAATGCTTACTAAATCTATATCCCTAATATGTGTTACTAAATTAGTTTGCTGTTCTGAGGATTGAGATAAGTATGAAAGCACCCAGCACCCCAGTTCAAAGGAGATGTTCAATGAAGTTTTGTCAGACTTTATATGTCTTAACTTGGTCAGAAACACACATACCCTGTTCTTTGGAACTTACAGAGTTGGTCTCCTGTTTCCTATCCTTTCAAGATGGCATTTCTGTTCTGGCTCCAACCAACAGCTAGCCTACCCTTCTTATGCATTTGCATCTTGTAGAGAGGTTAGAATCTAAAAATCAGGACATAAATTAAATGCATATATGATGTAACTCCACTAGGCTACGTGACCTTCAGAAGCTCTGTGACACAGCTTTATTTACTAAACTAAGCAAAGCTCCACGAGGGTTTTAATTTTCATAATAAAAGGTAAGGAGACCTAGGTTGAATTTACCATTGTTTCATTAATCTTAAAGGTAGGAGCTATGCTATTAAGAGCAGCAATTTTAATGAAATTCTTTCTTGTCCAAGCATCTGAAACCAATTTATTAGAATGAAAACACATTATCAATAATCTCATTAACAAAAGTGGATATTAAAACTGTGCTAGAGATCTAAAACATGAACGATAGTTTTAAAGAATTTCAAATCTGCTTACTTTCAAGATAAACAACATTTGCTATTAATGAGAATGAAAGTTATCCAAGAAAATAATTTACCTTGCAAAAGCTTTCAGTTCTTACACTCTAAATGTTGACCCTCAAACCTTTTTATTTTGAGGAAGATTAGCCCTGAGCTAACATCTGCTCCCAATCCTCCTGCTTTTGCTGAGGAAGACTGGCCCTGAGCTAACATCCGTGCCCATCTTCCTCTACTTTATATGTGGGACATTTGCCACAGCATGGCTTGCCAAGCGGTGCACAGGTCTGCACATGGGATTCGAACTGGCAAACCCCGGGCCGCCGAAGTGGAACATGTGAACTTAACTGCTGCGCCACGGGGGCCGGCCCCTCAACTTTTTATTCAGGACCAATTCAATGTCTGTTCTGGATAGAAGAGAGGAAATAGAAATGCCGGCCCCGAGCCTCAAAACTTTTAAAATATCATTCTTCAGTACAGTATAACCTGCTGTTAAGGGATGGTTTCCTGAACTTAGTATAATCTAGTAATGTGAATGCAAATGTGGACCCAACGTCTTTAAGGCTTTGTTTGTATACATAGAAAGATGCACAACATCCTATACATTTAAAAGTGAACCCTTTCTTTGCCTTCTATTTTATTTTTAGTTCTGTCCTTTTGAGTTAAAGTGGAAACAGAGCACTATTATTTTTTGACTTAAAATCTGTCCCTTATGCCTTTATTCACAGAGATTTACCAGCACAGAGTTATACTGTCTACTAAAATTAGAAATATTCTGAGTCACCAGAACACCAGAGATGTCTGTTGTTATAATCGAATCGTATCTGGAATTGTTTTATCTTTCCCTTGAAACACGTTATTTGAGTATACTTTGCTCGATGGAAAACGACCATCAAGTCTTTTTCTTAAAAGACTGGTAGCAGTATTAGAAGACTGGATTCTTTGCTGAGAGGGCAGCTAACTGAGAATACACGTGCATTTGTTTCAACATGATTAGCTGATGCACACAAATCCCATGCTGACCAAATGGAAAGCAACACACTGAATTTTCGGTTGGAATTTGTGTACATTCTCTATTTTTCTAAAATTCAACATGTTCAATCATAACTCTCTGAGTACATGTTAAAGGCTTTTCCTCCCATGAGATTTAAATACATGCTACTTTGTTCTGTGTTGAAATGTGTTAACTCTCTTATTCTGGATTGTACATTGGAAAATTCCAATAAAAGCAGTACAATTAAAAAAAAGGCCTTCCATTGACAGAACATCTGCAAACTTAATGAGGTAATCCACTGAGATAAATACATCAACTAATAAATTCCCCTCCGTGCAGCCAGGAGCATCACTGGCCAAGTACAAACCCTCTGGGGCGGCTTCGAGACTTTCAGTTCCTTTGGTCACAGGTTAACCAGAACACACACTTCACACAGCAAATTATTTCTTAAACAGTCCTCCTCCAGGAAAACAAGCCATTCTCCAGACCACATTTAAAAATAACCAAAAGGACACTATAATTAAGGGGGAGAAAGGGACAGAAGTGTACAGTCTGGGGGACGGTTCACAGTGAAGGATTCTGTGTTTATATAGACACTTATTCTCCTCTCAAATGTCATTATCTAAATTATAATTCTTCCATGTGCCCCTCATATGTGTTTCAATGACTAGATTATAAGCTCCTGATAATTAGGAACTATCATAGCTCTTAAATCTTTCTCCCCAACCTTTAGTGTCCAGCATAGTCTTAGTCACATAGTTGCAAACTCACAGACAGTGGTTGATTGAATTATCTGCAACACCCACAAAGTACTTTTATTGAGATGTAGGGAATTAATAAAAGATTAATTGCAGGTTCAATTTAATAGTTATATGATTATTCATGTTTTATTTTTCTTCTTGAGGCAGTTTTGGCATATGGTATTTCTTGGAGAAGTTTTCCCATTTCATAAAAATGTTCAAATTTATTGGCATAAAGTTGTTCATAATATTCTAATGACCATTCTAATTTCTGTAGGATCTATAGTGATGTTCCCTTTTACATTCCAGATATTGGTTATTTGAATGTTCCTTCTACTTTTTTAAATGACTAGTCTTGCCAGAGTTGTGTCAATTTTAGTTATCTAAGAACCAACTTTTGGAGGTGTTCATCATCTCTCTGTGTGTTTTTCTTTCACTAACTTCTAATCTTTTAATTTTCAGTCTTTTTCTTTTCTAATATATGTTCAAAGCTGTTTTCTTTATTTAAAATTTATTTTATTGAGGTCACAGTGGTTTATAGTATTATATACAATTCAAGTGTACATCATATTTTGACTTCTGTATAGGCTGCATCGTGTTCACCACCAAAAGTCTAGTTGCCATCCATCATTGTACCTATGTGCCCCTTTACCCCTTTTGCCCTCCTCTCACCCACTTCCCCTCTAATAACCACCAATCTGTTCTTCATATCTATGTGTTTGTTTCTTTATCTTCCACATATCAGTGAAATCATACAGTAGTTGTCTTTCTCTGTCTGACATTTCCTAAGCATAATACCCTTAAGTTTTCATCAATGTCTTCGCAAATGGCACAATTTTATCTTTTTTTAAGACTGAGTAGTCTTCCATTGTAAATATATATTACATCTTTATCCATTCATCTTTTGATGGGCACTTAGGTTGCTTCCAAGTCTTGGCTATTGTGAAAATGCTGCAATGAACATCAGGGTGCGTATATCCTTTTGAATTAGTGTTTTTATGATTTTTGGCTAAACATCCAGAAATGGAATAGCTGGATCAGGTGGTATCTGTTTCTAATTTTTTGAGGCATCTCCATACCATTTCCCATAGTGGCTGCACCAGTTTGGATTCCCACCAGCAGTGTATGAGGGTTTTCTTTTCTCCACATCCTCTCCAACACTTGTTATTTCTCATCTTTTTAATCATAGCCATTTTGATGAATGTGAGTTGATATCTCAAGGCAGTTTTGATTTGCATTTCCCTAATAATTAGTGATGTTGAACATCTTTTCATGTGTTTGTTGGAAAAATGTCCGTTTGTATCCTCTGCCCATTTTTTGATCAGGTTGTTCATTTTCTTGTTGTTGAGTTCTATGAGTTCTTCATATATTTTGTATATTAACCCCTTATCAGGTATATGATTTGCAAATATTTTCTCCCAGTGGTAGGTTGTCTTTTTGTTTAATTGATAGTTTCCTTTGCTGTGCAGAAGCTTCTTAGATTGATGTAGTCCTATTTCTTTATTTTTTCTTTTGTTTCCCTTGCCTCAGGAGACAAAAAGATACTATTAAGACCAATGTCAAAGAGTGTACCACCTATGTTTTCTTCTAGACGTTTTATGTTTTCAGGTCTTACCTACAAATCTTGCATCTCTGTCCATCAGTGATATTTGCTGTAATTTTCCTTTCTTTGGGTTGTTCTTGTCTGGTTCTCGTATTAGGGTAATGTTGGCCTCATAGAATGAGTTAGGAAGCATCTCATCCTCTTGAATTTTTTGGAAGAATTTGAGAAGGATAGGTATTAAATCTTTGAATGTTAGTAGAATTCATCAGAGTAGCCATCTGGTCCTGGACTTTTGTTTTTTGGGAGGTTTCTGATTACTGTTTCAATCTCTTTACCTGTGATTGGTCTATTCAGATTCCCTATTTCTTCTTGATTCAGTTTTGGAAAGTTGTATGATTCTAGGAATTTATCCATTTCTTCCAGGTTATCCAATTTGTTGGCATATAGCTTTTCATAGTATTCTCTTATAATCCTTTGTGTTTCTGTGGTATCCACTGTAATTTCTCTTCTTTCATTTCTGACTTTACTTATTTGAGCCTTCTCTCTTTTCTTCTTAGTGAGTTTAGCTAAGAGTTTGTCAAGTTTATCTTTTCAAAGAATCAGCTCCTAGTTTCGTTGATCCTTTCTATTGTCTTTTTAATCTCTATTTATTTCTGCTCAAATTTTTATTATTTCCTTCCTTCTACTGACTTTAGGCCTCATTTGTTCTTTTTTCTCTATTTTTTAAAAATTTTTATTTTTTTCGGATGTACATCGTATTTCGAATTCTGTATACATTACATCATGTTCACCACCCGAACACTAATTATAGAGCATCCCCTCACATGTGACCCTAATCACCTCTTTGCCCTCCCCCCCCCCAATGGTAACCACCAGTCCAATCTCCAATGCTATGTGATTTTTTTTTTTTTTGTCGTTTTTATCTTCTACTTATGAGTGAGATCATATGGTATTTGACTTTCTCCC